GACCTAGCAGGAATACTAGAAGAAATGGATAGAATATTTTCTATTTGAGTTTCTACATTTAATCTACATTTTAAGACACCCCCATATTTCTAACATTTTAGGATTTCCATAAGTGTCTTGTAAAATGTGTAAACAAATACTCAATCATACTAGAGTAAAGTTTGTTATGAATTTTAGCCATAAAACTATATTTTAACAAACTCAAGTTTTGTTTACACATAATTATATTCTCAAAGTTTTGAGAAGTTACAAATAAAAAATGCATAAACCATTATGAAATTCTTTATGACTTTTTCTCATTCAAAATGAATTTTGATTTTTCCTAACATCAGGAAAAATGATCTCAAAGATAATCTCTTTTCTTTCCTCTACTTAGGAAAATCACTTAAAGAGATTTAATAGTTACAACACTCTTTTAGTAGAAATAGAGTCTTATCATATTCTCATTCATGATATTCAACATATTAGCCTTAAAGAGATCATCATATATTTTATTTACTATGACTAAATTTGGTATTTCACTCAACCAAATTAATCTCTACTCTTTTAACTTATGCACTAAGTTTTAAGAGTTTTTATCTTGTCATAATAGTGAGCATAGTAATGAACAATGCACCATGTAGGTTTCTATGAAAGAGATGTGGTGCACTAGGCACGCTTAAGTACCAAGTCTTCATAGAACCAATCCTAGATATGTACTTTCATACTCATCACACTATTTTCCTATAAATCATTTGTAGATTTTCTCTTTCTTAAGGCTTCTTAAAGAATTATGCTTGATACTTTTAATCATAATAATGTCTTCTTAAGCATATATATTTTGGGCTCAAACTACTACCTTAGCCTTAGTAGTACTACCTTAGTCTTTAATAGTGGTTTTATCTCTTTTCATAGTATCCACTGAGTTTTAAAGACTATCTTAAAGGCTCATGCAATCTAATTCATGTATTTTAAAAAAACATGAATTAACAGATAACAAGTCTAAATAATCTGACCTCGCTGGTAGAGTCATAATTACTAAATAGACTTATTCATCCTCACCATGCATGCTACTTCATCCTTTGCATCATCATTTTTAATCAACATGATCCCAAAATCCATCGTGACAATCTCTTCATCTGAACCATCATCTCTTTTAAATCTTCTGAAGTCAAATGAAGAATATACATGGTTAGTCATGAAATTAATTTACTAACAATAATTTAAAAAAAGTATTGATAGTGACAAGATCCTTATCTTTAGGATTTTGGTTCCTTATCTTCAAGAGATAAATCAAACTCAAATTTAACAACTATTCAGTTTGGAGAATCTCCTCGTTCAACATCATCACCTTCATGATTCTCCAAAATTACAACCGTTCTATTGTCTTTAAAAATTTCTCAAAAGAAATTATTAGTATGATAAAATAGTTGATATTTATTTTTAACTTAATATTCAGAAACTGAATAATCTTACCCCACATAAATAGTTACACATCTCCACATGAACCAAAGGTTGTTATTCTCCAAGAGAATCAATTTCCATTATAATGGAGTCATTAAATCATAATCTTTATTGCACAAATATTAGAAATATATACTCATGTATAATAGCAATATATATTCATTAAAATGAGAAAATAGTTAATTCACCAATATAGCTATGTATACACGTTAAAAGCAATAAACACACGTCTCCATTATCATTTCAGTTTTGCAATATAAAGACAATTCATTAAAAATTATTTTGAAAACTAAAACGTTTCCTTGCTTTAAACTCATAAAGCAGTGACTAATTAAACGTTTTTTCCCCTTTAGTCCATAAGACCTTATAATACCATTAATGCTTATTATAATATAAAATTTATAAATATTCAAATATTAATGAATTATAAACAACTGTTAAGAAGTATTTAACAGCTATAATACTAATGTTTCCAATTCCATGCATTTTATAAACTTTAATTCATGCTTTAAAGTTTCCAATATTTAAATGCAGGAAAACAGCCTTGTCATGCATGTTTACTGTTGCTCTTAATAATTATAAATTAATCATGAAATTAAAGAATGACAAATTTCTAAACATTAGCAACCACAAGTTTGTTACCATATATTTTATCATGGCGCTATAAAATTCCTTTTGATAGCAAGATTACCGACGAAACAAAAATGAAGAAACTAACCGGAATCCATAGGCTCAATTTCCTTACTTTCGACATTTTTTGCTAATCTATGCCCAACAGATCTTATTGTTGTCGTATTTAGCAGCAGTAAAGAATTCGTTTCTAAATTGTTTGTAAAATAGACTGTTGCAAAACGAGACGTTAGCACTAACAGAAAAATATTAAATAAAATAATCAATCAGAATGAAACAGATTGATAAACAGTGTTGTGGTAAAACCACTTCCTTAGAAACGAATTTGCCCCGATGTGTGTAATCGCTGCAGTATGCAGACCGTTCCCCCGAGGTTAACATGACTCTAGGGATGGGCATGGTTCGGGTTTTTGGACCACCCAACCCGACCCGAGAAGAAAGGGTATTCCACCCGTAACCCAACCCGACCCGACGAAATTATAATTTCACCCGACCCGACACGATATACAATTAAAAAAATCCAACCCAATCCGACCCGATTTAATTTTTTATTTATTAAAACCCACGCTTGGTCGGAGAAGAGAAAGAAGATGAACAAAGCTGATACAGTTTTCATGGTTTAGTGCAGTTTTCATGGTTTAGTGTTTATTGCATAAAGCTCGGTGCATAGCACATGCTCACCACCTTCAGTTATTTTTTTTTATTTTAAGTTTTATCGCCAGTTTTAGGTACATGACACCAAACTCTGTAATTAGGATGTCCATAGGGGTGGTGCATGTATCCGAAAAATTGAGGGAGGGAAGACTACGGTGGTTTGGGCATGTCCTTAGGCGACAACTGTCGGATGCGGTCAGGAGGGTATAGTCGATTACAGTCGACAGTGCTAGAAAGAGAGGACGACCAAGGAGGAAGTGGGTAGACTGCTTGAGATATGATTTGAAGGATTTAGCCCTTACCAGACATGACCTCTGATAAGAAAGTATGGAGACTTAAGACCAGGGTAGCCGAGTAGTGTGGGTCACATCTATAGGGTGTAGCATCTATGTCTTCTTTGTAATACCTTTGAAGTTAATTTCTAGGACTTCTACTTTATATACGTTTTTGTCATTGGAATTTATAAAGGCTTATATTAGGGTAGCGGAGTAGTGTTGCCTTAGTTTAGGTTTTAACCCATTTGACCTTATTCCTTCTCGTAGCTTGCTATCGTTGCCTTCTGTGTATCCTTCTAACGTTTTCTGTCTCTAAGCAGAGATTTTTACGCAGGGATTTATTTGCAGAGATTACTTCCCATTACAGACGCGCATAAGAAGACTGCATATGAAGACTGTTCAACTATATATTTATTGATTTATTTATACATGCATTGTATTTTATCTTTAATTTTATTTTATCATTGCCGGAGGTCTTCCACGGAAGCTGCTCTCAACCTGCCGTTGGGGGCAGCCTACTATCCCCACCTCCCCCTTACCCCATTGCATATGGGAATAGGTTTTGTTGTTGTTGTAATAAATGAAGGTGTTGGTTTCAAAGGTGCCAACCCATCAATCTTGGTGAACAAAACCAAAGCAATTTGGACCACTGATAGGGAATTTTTAAAAATTCGGGAGAACTACCATTCTCGAAACACAAGAAATTGGAATTTTGAAAGTTGCCGGGTAGGAATAGTCAAAGTAAAAAAATTAATAATAATTATATATTAACTATTTGGGTCGGGTCGGATTATTTTAACCCTAAACCCGACTCCGACCCGACTACGAATATTTTAAAATAAAATCCGACCCGGCCGAATCCGATTTTTTTTTTAAAAAACCGACCTGATCAGGTCGGGTCGGGTCGGTCAGAACCCGTCGGGTTCGGGTTCCATGCCCATCCCTACACGGCTCTCCAAGAATTCATACACTTGAAAACTTGAGTGAACTTGGTGGTATTGCTCTTCTCTCAACTCAAACAACACTCAAAAGAGATGATTGTTTCAAAGCAAATGTTTGATTGGAATTATCTCAAAGTGAATGAAATTGCTCACTATTTATAAGCTAAAATAGTGAGGGCAAAATCGTCATTTCCAATATTAGTGGGATAACCTAATTTGAGCATATTTGCAATATTAGTGGGATAACCTAATTTAGCATATTTCTAATACTAGTAGGATAACCTAATTTGAGCATTATCAACAAAAATATCCCAATCGGACAGAATACAAACCAGACGAATGTCCACTCCATACAAGAACAACCGAATGCATTGGGGACATTGGACATGCCAAAATATTTTGCGCATCCAACCCACAAAAAGCATCTTGAACAAATGAAATGTTCCAACTTGGGGAGTCAGGAAACATAAAATCACCACATAGCAGGAGCCGCAAAGCATGATCGGCATAATTTCCAGTGAGACATACTGGTGTGGTGCCACCCCAAGAACTGTGATGGATGGGGACGCGACTATGAAGGCCTACACGCCAATGAAAGTCAACTTTCAATTCTTGAACGATAGTACAAATACTTCGTTCGCCAAGCATAGGAACGCAACCTAACAGAACTTAAAACTCACTACTCCAGAATATGATAAAGTGCTGCAACAACCTAACAGTGATGAGCTGTTAGAAGATAAGGCAAGCTATCCAAGATTAATTGGGAGATTAATTCATTTGACTAATGCAAGACCAAATATTACATAAGCAGTGCATTATTTGAGTCACTTCATGCAGCAGCCAAAGAAATCACACCTAAATGTAGCTTTGAAAGTGGTTAAGTACATCAAAAAGGATCCAGGGCAAGGACCGTTGTTAAAAGCATCGACAAAAAAATCAAATTGTAGCCTACTGTGGTTCAGATTGGACATCATGCCCTATGACAAGAAGATCGATCACGGGGTATTGTATTAAACTTGGAGAATCCTTAATTTCATGGAAATCGAAGAAGCAATGTATGGTGGCTAGATCTTCAGCAGAAGCTAAATATCAAGGCATGGCAGCTACAGCAGCAGAGGTGTTGTGGTTGAGAGGATTGCTTGTTGAAATTGGTGTTCAATACAGAGAACCAGTAACGCTATATTGTGATAGTAAGGAAGCTATTCAGATTGCTGTAAATTCAGTTTATCATGAGAAAACAAAAATTATTGAAATTGATTGTCACTTCATTAGAGAAAAGATTCAAGAAGACCTGCTCAAAACAGAACATGTACCGACTGGAGAACAGCTTGCAGACATCGTGACCAAGGCAATAAGCGTACAACAACATAGTTATTTACTTTTCAAGTTGGGGTTAAAACATTTTTTATCCTCTAACTTGAGGGGGGGGGGTGTTGAGTTAGTTTTAACTGATTAGTTGATTAGTTAGGAGTTAGTTTTCATTCTGTCTTGTACTAGTTGCTTTCTCAGCTTGTATATAAAAGATGTAAACTTAGAATTTGTGAATATATGAAAAATGATGAATATTCTTCATTTACTGTGCAAAATACTCATTCTCAACAATCCTCCATCAAGATGAACCCCCATTGCTGTCAGAGTGTTGAACCTTCAAAACCTTGAGGGAATCAAGAGTTTTGTAGTCGAATACGAAGCTTTAAGGAAAATTCGACATGGGACTCTCGTCAAAGTGATTACTTCTTGCTTGAGCGTCGATTATCAAGGCAATTATTTCAAGGCTATAGTTTTGGAATTCATGGCTAATGGAAGCTTAGAGAAGTGGTTGAACCGCGACTTTTCATGCCATTTGAGCTTTGGTCAAGTGTTGGACATTGCTATAGATGTTGCCAATGCCTTGGATTACCTTCATCACCATTGTGAAACTGTGATCGTTCATCGTGATCTAAAGCCAACCAATGTTCTTCTCGACGACGACATGGTGGCCTGTGTCAGTGATTTCGGGATGGCAAAGACCCCCTTCGATGCTGCCAGCAAACTGGGTTTCGAGCAAGCAACTTCCTTTGTCATCAATGGAACAATCGGTTATGTTGCCCGTAAACTTCAAACTTTCTCATCACATTTCATTAGTAGTTCTAAAGTTTGGATTTTGTATAGGTAAACATGTCATTTTAGATATTAACTCAAATTCTAGTTAGTAACTTAGTTAGATTTTATTAACTTAAATATAGTAGTTGAAGATTACTTGATAATCAAATTTATTTAATAAGTAAATATTTATTTTAGGCGATAAATCTTAGAACTATTTTTTATGATTAAATATTTGACTCTATAAATATGGAGTAAGGTTTTAACTTTTAAAATTATGAGAGAGAATTGTTTTAGAGGTATAATTTTTTGTAACTTTTAGATTTTTTTTAACAGAGTTGAGTTTTGTAGGGATATTGTAAAAGTGTTTTAAGATACGTACAAGTTTTAGAATACATGAGATAGGGATATCATGTATTTATACAATTCGTGATCTCTATATTTATAGTGAATTATTATTCCTTTCAATTGTGGAGGTATGGAAGATTGAATCATGTTTAATCTTATTTATTATGTGCGCATATCTTATTTCGTGTTAATTTCACTTTGATTATTGTTAAGCGTATAAAAGTATTATATTTTCTACCATTTTACCCATAATTATTGCTAGATTTAGGTTTGGCCTAGTTGCATTATTAGTTATTCATGTATGATTTCATAGTTTCCTTCATAGTTAAATTTGATATTACATTTTGGTTGATTTTGTGGAAAAGATGATATTGATGTGTGTAAACTAGTGCAGATTAGAAAATAGCAAGTTGAAAATTCTAAGGCATTTGAAGATAATCACGGCATAAGGGGATAAGCCCTAGAAAATTGAATATTCATGCAGAATTTAAGGAAGGAAAAAAGTCTTATTTGCAGCAAGGATTTGAGGATAAAGATAAAAGAGATTTACATCTTCTTTTATTAAAATAAATTTATTATCTTTTTTATTAAAAGATATTTATTACCTCTTTTATTCCAATTAAAACTCTTCATCATCAATAACCAAAGTTAACCTAATTATTCCCTATAAATAAGGAGGCGCAACAAGAAAAGGGGGCGGACGAGAGAGAGAAAAGATGGACACACATCTTCTTCTTATTTTTTTATTTCTTTTTTATTATTGTCGTTGGGAAATCTTTATCTTGTTTTCTTTTTGCACCCAACCATGAACTAAATTTATTTGGCTTGGGTTATTGGTTTTTTGTGGTTGTGAAAACTTTGGATTTGTTTAAGTTCTTGATTGTAGATTAAAATCAAAGTTTGTTCATTCTTGGTTTTTTAATTGATTTCGAGTTAAAGCAATGATGTATCACCAAGGCATGCACAATTGCCCAGTTATTTGAGTTAGGGGTAACAAGAAGAAATTAAAGAACTCTTTGCTAAGCTTTGAAGGAGGAAACCCAGTTGCTATGGCAATTGAATCAATTTCAGTTGTCACGACAATCAAGTTGCCTCGACAATAAGATGCCCAGACTGTCCAAACAATTGCCATACCGCACTTCCCGATAACTCGACCTACTCTCTTATCTGATCATACTCTACTTTTATTTACTTGTATAAATATTTTTATTGTTAATTCAAACTCCTACCATCACCAATTTATTTCTTTTTATAGTGAAAGGAGTTAGAATACAGAGTTACACCAACCCCTGTGGAGATGATATATTTTCTATACTATAACTTGCGACGCGTACACTTGCACCAATTGTGAAGCACTTAAATCACGCAACAATTATTTTTCGCTTACAAATTCCTAACTATTATCTCTTTTCATTCAAATATAAACGGTACTAAATGTTGCAGAATACGGCATGGGTGGTCCGATGTCTCCAAAAGGAGATGATAACAGGAAAGAAGCAATCAGATGATCTATTCAACGACGGATCAAGCCTTCATGATTTTTGTAAGACGGCATTAACCTCGTCGGAAAAGGTGAAGAAAGTTACAGATTCTCGACTGCTCCATGAAATTAATGATCAGCAGAAAAAGACCATAATTGGTGACGATGTTATATGGGAATGTTTGGTTGCTCTCATTAACTCGGAGTTGCATGTTCTATTTAAGTTCCAGTTGAGAGAATGAAGATTGAAGACGCAATTAAAGAACTGCATGCAATTAAGGGAGTTTATCACCATATAATTAACCAATCGAATTCGTGGATTACGCAGCAGAATAAGTAATAGAAATTTACAAAATCATCGCTAGTGATAGTCTGGGTTCGAGTTATTACGTCTGAAATGTATATTGTTACTAATAGATTAATTTTTTTTAAATAAATATCTTATAACCATCTCGATAAATTCAATTCTTCATTGAATACCAAATGGTCTAAATATCTTCAAAGACGACTGAGCTACAGGTAATTTATCACTTTGGTATTGAATTTGTCATGAGAAGGACAAAATTTTGGCACATTTTATCTTTTTTTAAATATATATATATATTTTGAATTTTTTATGAAAACAATAAAATAATTGATGTTAACATTGGTAAAAGGGAAAACTAATTTATATCAATTTAGCAAGTTCGTTAATTTTTTACCAGTTAGTTTAATTTGACAAAATATTAAAGTTCGAGGTCAAAGAGGTTTAAAAAATTAAGGACTAAAATAATTCTTTTACAATTAAAGGTTAAAAATGTTATTAAACCAATTGTGTTCAATTCATTTCTTGAAAATATTCCTTCGCCATTTTAGTATCATATCAACGTTGAAAACTTCAAAACTAAATTATATTTTATAACATGTTGAAAATATTTAATTAATTACAAATTAATTTTTTTAATAATTAATTTTTAAATATTTTAATAATCCAAAATGAAAACCGAAAAAAATTCTATGAAAAGGTATGGAAAATATAAGTTGATTTTAATGTATCCATTTTAAAATTATGTTCCTCATTAAAATTTTGCATTATCAAATATATTATTTATTTTAGATATTTAATTTTAAGAAATATATCAAATATATTTTATAACTTCACTCTCACCACAAATGTCAATCTTTATTTTTTTATAATTTATTTTTAGTTCATCAAATAATATCAAATCTATAAAGAAAAAAAATTATAAATACAACCTCCTCCTCTCTCTTCCTTTTTTTTCTTTACAACTTGTGTCAATTTTATTTATCAATCTAACTTTTTCTTCTTTAATTTTGTTTAATCGGCGACGACACTGGTTTTGATGCGGGTTGCCGCCCGCCGATTATATTTTTTCTTCGTTTTTCTTAATTTTTTAATAAGAATAATTATGTCTTTGTGACAAGTTCTCTGCCTTTATGGCAAGTTTATCTCAGCCTTTGTGGCACATTTATCTCAACCTTTGTGACACGTTTTTCTCTTCCTTTTGGTAAGTTACAGTTTTTTGCTATTGTTTTCATTTATCTTTTTTCACAGGGTTGAATTTGACATTACCACCATTAATCAATATGACGCTTATTTGTTATTATGTTGATCTTCCCTACTTTGGACCCTCAGATTGATTTGGATGTGTTTTGCGCTCGTGGATAGTTTTCTCACGTCGCTCGACTTTGATTTGCGATTTGTCGGTGGTCTTTCAGTAGTTTCATCCCCTTTTGTGGTTCGTTTGTCGATGCAATCAGATTTGTTCGTATTTTTATTTTACTCTAGCATTGGTTTGGTTTTTTTAACCTTTTTCCTTTTATGGTCCTTATATGATCTAGGTGACTAGTTTTTGTGTTAATGATTATATGAAAATGTCATAATTATAATTTAGTTTACATTTACGGTTATGCTCGTAAATCTTCATTGTAATTCTGGATATTTTCTATTTTTAATAAAATTAGCAGGCTTTCTATATATATATATATATATATATATATATATATATATATATAATACTTTAAATATATGGAAAAACAATAAAAACATAAGGTATATTTTACCAATATAATATTCTTATCTGATACATACTTGGAACTCACATGCTATCTTGCACAAGTACTCACATACATTGATTTCGTCGAAGCACGAACCAATCCACATCTTTTTTCACAATTAACAAGAAATAAAATATGAAATCCTTGAATGTGAATGAATATTAATAATCGAAGTTGAAGATGAAGATAAATTACCTTACAATTTTATACATCAAAGTGAATATCCAATTAGCAAGAGTTGAAAAGTTGAAAATTCATAAGGCGAGAAAGCGAATCCGGCTGGCAGAGCGGCCGGCGAATGCAGAAATATTTCAGGGCTCGAAATCAAAGAGAAAGCATCAATGAGGAAGAAGAATATGGTAGTGATGGGTGCCATTCTCAAACTTTAGCCTCCTAAAAAAGTTGTGGGCAATCAACTCTCCCTTTGTTATATGAATTTATATTTATCATATTGGACAACGTAAAAATCTATTAAAAAGCAATTAATTAGAAAAGTTGGGGTAAGGATTTAATTTTCATAATTGGAAGGGTCCTAAAAAATAATTAAATCGAAAATTGTTTGAGAGTAGGTTTAATTTCACTGTTTAAAACTATTAGAAATAATTGCACATGAGATCCTAAACTTTAACATATTCTATATCAATCTCCAAACTATAATTGTCGTTCTAAGTAGACATCTGAACTTAAAAATTCTACACAATCCTCAAACTATCAATATCATTCCATTTTGTTCATTTAATTAATGTATTATTGACTCTAATAGTTAAAAAGTAATTTATTTTCAAGGTCATGAAAATTGAATTTGTAACTTTCTAAAAAAAATTACATGACCTTTAAAACATATATTTTTTTCGAAATTCACTTTTTCAGTTCTCACGACCTTGAGAACAAATTATTTTTAAAAGCAATAAAATTAACTACACGTTATCAGAACAATCAAAGTGAAATAAATATGATTGTTTGAGTATTGATATAAAATATTTTTAAACTTAGGGATTAATCTAGAGTGGGGTCATAATTTGGGGACCTCTGTACAATTATCTCGAACTATTGAGAACTTAAAATATAAGTGATGACAGACAATATAATTTGATGCTTCTTTCACTTAGTTGCTTGGAGTGTTTGCTTTGGATAAGAGTGTTTAAGACATAGACATGATGGAAGCGATTGCTTATATCTTCGGGGAAAATGATGTTTTTTTTGTGTTCTTATTGGATTCTTGCCTACAACATTATAAGGAGACAAAAATCACGTTTGGACAACTTGAAAACTTAATTATTATGTATTGCCTACTTTCTCGTCCAATTTAAAATGAGCATCCAATCTTTAAATTATTGGATAAAGTTATTTTTTTAATTTGTTGGGTCATTAAGGGTATTATTTTGAAGTTTTTTTTAGAGTGCGAAATTAAGTCGGATCATTGAATACACCTACACATTCAATGCTAGAAAAATTCTATCTTGGCCCAAGTTGACTGATGTTATTTGGGCTCTTTCTTGCATGTGATTATAACGTTTTTCCTATATTCATTCTAAACTGATCGTATTCGAGTTGTAATAAAGTTAATTGTCAACATATAATTATTATTATATTTATTTTTATTTTAAATTTTGATGAAATTTATTGTTCATCATTTACAATGGTGTTTATTTGTATATTCTATTTTTTTCGAGTTATTTGGTTAGATATTTTTAGACTTTTCGTGTATTATTTTATTTACATTATTTAGTGGTTAGTTTGTGTTTTTTTTTAACGTGTTATCGCCAGCTATAATGAACCAAAAAAACCAAACGTTTCCAAACCAGTTGTGGGATACAGCTAGACAGACCACTCACAATTACTAAAAATCAAAGCAGCAAAAACAAAACCAAAACACAAAACTCAGGTGGCCTTTCATCTTCTTCCTTCACCGGCTTCCAAAACATTTCACGAACAGAGAAGAAGAAACAAACAAAACATAATAGAGACAAAGCACGATCCAAAACAAAACGCAACAGCTACGGTGGGACGATCCCTCGACTATCCTCTGCTACTTGGACCTCCACGCAGCGCGGCCCCTCCTCAACCCAGAAGCAATCCTTCATTCCCAGACCAACGACGGTTGCCAGAATGTGCGCAGCTTTATTAGCCGATCTTGGTGTAAAGGTAAACTTACATGCATGCAACTGATCAGCTCTCCTTTTTGCTTCCCATATCAGTGCACTTATCTCCGACATATCATATTCACTCGATTGCAGCTTATATATCACCGATCTCGAGTCACCCTCCACCACAACATTTTTAAAGCCGAGGTCCACCTCCAATTCCACCGCATGCACAGCGGCCTTTGCTTCAGCCTTGAAAGCCGAGGTAACAAAATCGCTTTTCCTTCCACATGCGCCTAAAATAAGGCCTTCGTTATTCCTTATAGTCACTCCTGACCAAGCAAGTTTTGATTGTGGCGAGAACCGAACATCAAAATTCGCTTTGACAACTTGTCCCTCTGGCGGCTTCCACTTCGCCTCAGGAGAAATCACTGATGTCTACAAACATTCATTAGCCCTGGAAAAATCCAAGCACTGGGCTTGAGCAAAGGTAACAATTTCTTCGACTATTAAAACCTGGCCTTGATGTAAATATTTGTTCCGGGATAACCAAAGAGCCCAGATGGTTATCAACACAACTGCATGTCTTTTCGAATGATTCTGCTTAATTAACCAAAAAACCCAACCTGTAAAATTCAAATTTGCAACGGTTGGAGGCCAGAAGAACCCCAAAGCCTACCAGACATAATAGGCTAGCGGGCAATCACGCACCAAATGCACCTTATCCTCTATAGACGTAGGGCACTTCTCACAGTACATATTGTTTGAAATTCTACGTTGATAAAGGTTCTGATTTGTTGAGAGATAATTGAATAAAAATTTCCAAGCATGTATCTTTATCTTCCATTGACATGCACACTCCCAGATTGCCTTCAAAGCTACAGTTTCATCTTGAGACACCAAACCATTACCAAGCAACAAACGATACCCACTCTTTACACTGTAGATACCAGATCGCTCTCCCCCCACACTCGCATATCTTCCTGATCAAAGTGGAAAATAGGAATACTTAGAATCAACTCCGCCTCCCCGTTCGAAAAGTTCTGTCGAACCACTTCCACCTTCCCACTAGCATCCATCTCATTTATTAAATCATAGATCTTATTTATTGAGTCCACTCGAGGGAGCCAAAAATCGTTCCAAACGGATATGGATCGTCCATTTTCGACTTTCCATTGGAGTCCCTTCTCAAGTAATCTGCGGGCACTCCATATGCTGCGCCAGATGTACGATGGTGATGAGCCAAGCCTCACATGAAGAAAATCTACTGTAGGTTAATATTTAGCTCGCAATACCCTACTCACCAGCAACAATGGATTCAACAGTAATCTCCACCCTTGCTAGCTAGTAACGCTATATTAATTTTCTCCATATTTCGGAACCCAATACCTCCTTCTTTTAACAAGCTAACCCTCTCCCAAGAACACAAATGAATACCCCGTTTGTTGAGATACTCAAAGTAACTATGCTAAGGAACAAGAATAAAAAACGCAGAAGCTTTCTTTCTCATTCTTTTAACTCTTCCTTTACAAGCTTTATATAATATTCATACATGCATGCAGTTACAAACTGTTAACAACCTTAACCACCTAACGTCCTAACTGCAGCAACTCAACGTGCAGTAATCAGCTATGAGCAACTCCATGAGCACGAGCAGTGATTGCATGCATCTGCTGACTGCATGTATCTGCTCGACTTATTCCAACATTCTCCCTACTTTCTCTACTCTCCTTCTTCAACACACCTTCATTCACAACTTTTCTCGAAATTCTTCGAAGGCATGTCGAGCTAACGGCTTGGTCAGGCTATCAGCAATCTGATGAGTAGCAGGCAAATAGTTTACACGCATTTGCTTTCCTATAACCTTCTCTCGCATAAAATGGATGTCAAGATCCACATGTTTGGTATGTGCATGATAAACAGGGTTCACGCTTATAGCCACAGTACTGGTGTTGTTGCACCATATGATTGGTTCTTCTTTTTGACATACACCAAGTAACGCAAAATTTGTTTTACTGCAACCATATGTGACTGTCGTGGTGCATGCATATATTGAGCCACTTTGTTAACACATAATGTAATATCAGGCCTTGTGTGGAACACATAAAGCATCCCTCTAACAATGTTGCGATAGTTGTATGCATCAGCAATAATCTCCCCATCATCACAACGCAATTTGGTAGCAGCTACCATTGGAGATGGTGTAGGTGTAGCTTTTAACATGTTTGTTTTTTCCAGAAGTTCCATAATAAATTTCCTCTGTGACAAAACAAGACATTCACATGTTCTTTTGACTTCAATGCCTAGGAAGTATGAAAGTTGTCAGAGATCCTTTAGTGAGAATCTATCACTTAGCAATCGAACCATTTCAACTATCTCAATACTCGAGTGGCTTGTGATGATTATATCATCAACATACACTAGCAAATAAATGTAGTTCTCACCCTTCTTCTTGATAAAAAATGATACATCATCTCGTGATTCTTTAAAATAATGCTTAACAAGCTTTCTCGAAGATTGGTGTGCCAGCTTCTGGGTGCTTGTCTCAGTCCTTAAAGCGCATTTTTCAAACGACATACCAACTTACTTCCATCAGGAGCAACCTGTTCAAAATCTAGTGGTTGTTGCATGAAGACCACTTCTTGAAGCTCACCATTCAAGAATGCATTGTTTACATTTACTTGTCGAAGAACCTGACAACTGTCGTTTTCGATGTCAAAATAAATTCCTTCTTCTCAGTTAATAAATAAGGAAATTTATAGTAAAAAGAAGTAAAGTTCGAATCCACAGGGACTTAGAAAATCACAAATTAATGTTTGAATGGTTTTAACCAGGCGAAAAATAGTAAAATGGGGGGTTTGGTAAAATAAAATTAAAATGGTAAAAATAAATAAAAGCAATTTAAATAAAAAATAAGAGAATAAAGTTTGTGAATAAATACGGTAAAAATAGCCTCAAGCTTCACTTTGTCTCAATTTCCTTTATATCATCGATTAAGATTTTCTCTTCGGGATTCACGTCGGTTACTTTGTCTACAAGGGCTATCCCCGTGACTATATCTTGTATACTGAATACCCAAGTTAACCTTTGATTCCGACTTCGGGAATTGATTCTATCAACATCAATTTTCGTAGATCAATTACCGTTTAAGTTAGTGGTGACCGACTCGGATTGTTGCTTCAATAAACGTCAATTCCAATCTCAATTCCCTCTTGGCGAAGCCATCTCGCCAAGTATGTTCCCAGGAAGTCGAATTTTCTTTCTATAAGCCGAATCTTCCTCCCACACATTTAATCACAACAACCTCTTGAGCAAAGTCGATCTTTGATTTTGAAAACCGTTTTGATTTTGAAAAATAAGCGCAGAGATTGAGAGAGATATTCTGAAGATATTAAGGGTCTGTTTCAATTCTCCCGTTAGAATTGAGTCATCGCGTCAGCTCTCGACTTATGAAAAATTTAACTAAGCATGACAAAAGTCATACTTAGCATATTAAAAACAAAACTTGAAAATAAAGAAAAAAAAAGTAAAAAGAGAAAGCTTTTATAAAAACTAGAGAGAAAAGAAGAATGTAATTTGAGTGATGAGTTTAGGCTTACCCCAAGTGGGTATTTATAGCCTCTCAAAGCCTAAAGGATAAACAAAGAAAATAAATAAAATAATCCTAAAGATAATTATTTTTTAATTTAAATTCAAACTTAAACTAGTCTTATAATGCAACTCTGCTCGTAAATCTTCCAGAAGGCGTGCGGAGGAAGTCTTCTAGAAATCGTCGTTGACTGGACCTTCTAGAAACTGTCACGTCAGACCGCGTTGTGCCCAGAGTAAGGACATGAACAAAAAACATAACACGACCAATTTAGCATCAATAATTCCACAAAAACGAAGAAATAATGAGCAAAGATTGACGATTCTGAACACTCATCAAATTCCCCCTCACTTATCTCATGCTTGTCCTCAAGTATGATTAATCAAATTAGTCAAAAGATTCAATTATTGTTCTTTGTCAAGTTTCACATTCGAGGAAGCAAGGCAGAGACCACAACAACAATTCAAGTCAAGAAATCAATCAATTGAACATCATCATTTGGAACAAGTTAAGTGCAATTGTAATATCCATTCATTCTTCAATCTCAATGCTCATTACTCAATGCCTTACCGGGATTCACTCAAATCACTCAATGTGTTTGGGGTAAAGAAACGCTCAATGTTAGAATTGACACGATATTGCCATAGACATGCATGTAAATTAAATCTCCACTACTAATAAGAACAAGATGCATAAATCGAAGGGTCTTTTATTGGTTGTAACGGGGCTTAGGTAAGGTGGAGAAAAGGCTAAACATACGGCTAAATATTCAAGGCAAGGAACTAACAAATAATAATTTCAATTCCATCAAAACATTAAGCACAACAAGATAAAAGACGACCTATCAAACAACAAACTTCTTTTCGAAATGCATTGATTTTTTTTTCTTTGTTGTTGTTTCGTTCTCAATTCTTTTTCACGTCTTTCTTCTCTTCTTTTTTTTTTCTTTTTCTTTTTCGAACAACATCTTTTTTTTCTTTTCGAACTGCTGTTTTTTCTCTCTCTCTTTTTTCGATGGAATATACAATGGATAATTGTTCACTTGCCCTGAAATTGGTAGAAAAGAGTGATAAAATAGAAGGCTCGGTTTGTAAACATGGTGAAAACAAAGAAGCGAAAATAGGCTAAAAAGTGGTTAACTAAGGGGGAAAAATGCATGGGAATGCTATTTAGTGGGGGGACGGAAGGAATGGTTAATCCTAAGGTGCCCAAATCATCTTTAAGCATCATGTTCATGTGTAATCTCGATAGTATTTAACATATAGGTTCTAGAATATCAATGTCAAATTCGACACACTCAATACAACAAAATGAGAGCAAAAATTATATGCTCGTAAAGGCTTAAATCTCACCAAATTGTTTTATGCATTGAGCTAATCACATTTCAACCAACGAAGTCATGACATATCACAAAAACACCAACTTATCACAATTCATGTTATTCGCTATCAAGAACATCCTAACCTAAATCATCATGTGTTCCCAAACAAACATAACATTCCAAAAATATTCAACAAGACAAAGAAATTCAACGAAATTTTCGCGAATCCAATAAACACATACTAAAATCAAAACAAAAAGATAAGCAAAAGGAAAATTCAATCTACACTCTACTCCCCCTCACTTAAAGCGTTTTGCCTCAAAACGGAAAATTCAAGTGCAAGAGAAGGAACAGAGTACTCCCCGGATTTCATGTCGAGTTTGCTAACGTGCGTCGATCTCCATAAGAGTGTGCTAACGTGCGCCGTTTAATGAAATGGTGCGCATGGCTGGGGCATTATTTTTTCTGCTTGTTCGACTGTTCAATGCTCAGTAGTCTCTAAAATTAGCACTGTTCGAATCATAATTTTGTAAATTTTTGTCGTTCAAGTTTGAATAATAAAAAAAATTGGTTACTGCAA